GTTTTAAGTAGCTAGCCTTAACATGTCCAACCACTCCACAATGGTGACAAATAATCTGACCTCTAGTTGGACATAATCCAGTTCAAAAGGGTTGGCATTGGTGATGTATTCAAGATTTAAGACTTAAGTGGTTCAAATTCTGGGCGTAATCCCATAAAAAAACTTATAGGTATGCTGGCGGTCAAGACGTTTGACAAGAAGAGAGGCTACCTTGGGAGGAAATTCACTCAGAGGCTCATATTGAGCCAGTTCCTCCCAAAGAGATCTCAAATACCCAAAGTAATCAGCTACAGACAAATCCAGGCCTTCCTGCGAGGCCTTAGCAATATCCTGGTATAACTAAAAAATATAAGCATCATTCTTAGAATGAGCATACATTTGATTCAAAGCAGTCCACAGGTGATGAACAATGTCATAAAACATGAATATATTATAAATTCGTTCTTTCATAGAATTAAACATCGACCCTAAAATGGTGCAATTGTCCATATCCCACTGAACATATTTAGGATCTTTAATATCTGGCATCTTTTTAGTACCCAAAAACTACCCTGATTTGCCTTTTCCACCAACATAAAGGCGGAGGGAAAGAGATCAGGATCCAAAATTACGGCTATTCAACAACACACTAGTAACTCATTGAGCCGATGTGTGTTGCGCCGAATAGAGAGTTTCTTTATTATTACTTGAATCAGCTATAATATTAAATAGAACAATTCAACAGATCACCAATAATTTCAAATAAAGGAGGAATAAACCTAATTTTGATCAAATCAAGAAGCCGGAGACACTGTGGTCCAATCTGAAAATACTGTCGAATATTCCGGTAGCCCCAAAAAATTCCAAACACATAAAAACACTAAGGGAATACCCCTACAGGGTTGAACCTAGAGGAGATTGGCTCTCCTTAGGACTGTTGCAACAGCGGCCTGAAGAAGAGAGAGAGTCTGCAATGAAAAGAAAGAAAGAAAGAAAGAAAGAAGGGGTTGTGACGAGATAGAGAGAGAGGAAAAAAGGCTGTGAAAGAGGGAGAGAGGAGAGGCGTAGGTTTGAGGCTCTGATACCAAAAAGTGATTTGGTAAAATTGACGTTCTCAATTTGAGAGTCTGATTATCATTATATACAAGAGGAAAATTACAAATATGGAAAGAGAATAAAAATCAAATCCCTAAACAAAAGCATAAACATAAGCCTATAATGAAGACCCAATAAATCTGCCACAATTATCGAGTCAACCTATAGATATGATTTCCAACAGGTACAAATTTTTCAGTAAAGGCACTCAAAGGGGAGAGCAACTGAGCCACAACTGCACAAAAAAATGCTATATCATCACACTCATTTGACTTGGACCCATCACTTGATTTTTGGATGATTCTGTTAGATATTTAAAATTTTGCCTTTTTTCTTAGATTAAGGTTATTAGCAGAAGATATTAAAAGCAAAAAATAGGAAATATATTGGAAAACAATCATGGATTTGCACAGATCATTACTGTGTCATGAATATTTGGCAAAGACAGCGAGAATGTTCAAATTTTATGTTAGTTGGTGCACTTAGAGAGAGTGATGGATATCAAGGTGTCCACCTTTTTCACAGTGGCTAGACATGATAGCATGATGCTTCATGTAGTGAACTTTCAGGACAGATTATATCATATTCAATAGAGTTAATTGCATTGTCCAATTTGGCCTTCACTGTTTCAACAATGCTTTTGGTTATTAGTAGGATAACTTTATTTTTGTAGTGTGATTAGTTTGCCCATTCCAAGTTCTATTGTTGCAATCAATTTGTGTCAGGTTTCTTTCATACCGAGATGCTGGTCAGACCAGTACCTTGCCCTTTCTGTAGTGTGATTAGTTTGTCAATTCCAAATTCTATTGTTGCTATCAAGTTGTGTCAGATTTCTTTGATTCTGGGATGTTGGTCAGACCATTACCTTTCCCATATCAGGGGAGACATGATTATGATGGGGTCTCTTTGCGTTATGCTAGACTGCAATGTACAAACTTTGCAATTTTAAAGTTGTAGTAATTAAGTCCTAAATTATAGAGATGCTAGAATGTATGCAAACTACCCAATCATTAATATTTTTGAGGATGACAAAAAATTATTATCTTCTTCAGGTAAAGTCTACTAGTAGAAGAAAACGATACGGGATTCGCATAGATCATAGCTATGTATGTCATGAATCTGTTGCAAAGATATGATCATCAAATTTTATATTAGTTTGTGCCCTTATGGGGTTGAATCATAGTAAAGAACATCAAAAGTGAGGATGGTGAGGAATGATGACATTATGGAAGTTAAAGAGTTCCAATCTAATCATAAGTGAATTTGTTTTCCCAAACTTCGATTACCTAAATAAGAGCGTCTTGTTAGAAAGTGTCATTTCTTGAATGCTTGTAGAAACATTTACAACACACATTGCATTCTTGCATGTGTTCATATTTAAAATCCAAACCAAAAAAAATATGTTCATAATTTAAAATAAATTTCATAATTTCGGTTACAAGGCACTTCTAGAACTATGTTCCAAAGTTCCTAATAAGAGTCATGTTTGACACTTGGGAATAAGACCGATGAACATCCTCCAAAGTGACTCTACCTTTTTTTTTTTGTTTTGTTTTTGCTTTTGCTTTTGCTTTTTTTTTTTTTCTTGCACAAACTCGATTACATATGATCACCATGAGGCAAGCATGCGACGGACACTTATTGAAAAATAATATAATTGTAATATATATATATATATATATATATATATTAAGAGATTAATAGTGTAACTTAATATAATTATTTATAAGATTCATCAATCTTCATTGCACGCTATGCAATGACTAATGTAGAAACTTAGGAAACTAGTGAAAGTTATACATTTGTCTCGCATTATATATGTATACATATGTGTGCAGCACAACAATGAAACTAAATTGATAATAGAGGAATTAAATTACTGAGCCATACAATGAACTACGGTCACCATTGATCTCCACGATTGGCAAACCCCTCAGCTGCAACCTGCCACCAAGCAACCCACTGCTCAAGCACATTTCCAAATGAAACCCTATGTCGTCCCTAATGGGAAAACTCTACACTTTCTTGTCCCTAAGCTGTCATGTTATGTAAGGAAAATACCAAGTAATTGTAAGAAAAGCCTGAAGATGCTGCATATAAGGGTAGTGAAGATATTAATAATGGTTGATTTATCAATTTTGTGAATTAAATATGACTTGGGTGGTGGTGCCTGGCCCTAGCAACTAGGTTAAATGGGGTTCTCGGTTGGCCTGGAAGTTTTGATCTTTAGTATGATAATCCAGCAACCTATCACTTTTAAATCCAAGCAAATTCCTCCTTTCTTCTAATCTACAAAACCTACAACTTTTTGTTCTACCTTTAAAACCTTGTTCAGCCATGTCCTCTACAACTTCTGCAGTTCTGCCCACCATAAATCTAATTTTGGCTGGCATTATGTTGACATTTGCATTGTCCTGTGGCTCATGACCGTTGGAGTCTTATTCTTGGCTTGTTTGGCATTCAGTGGATTATGCCTCGGTCTTCGAGAGGCTTGATTGACATGCTTGGAGAGTGTTTTTTGTGGGATCCCACACCCTTGTTTTTTGGAGCGTGGCACCTTTTTGTGTTTGGTGGTGCATTTGAAAGGAGTGGAATAGAAGATCCTTTGATAGGGTGGAATCTCCCTTTGGGGCTTTGAAATTTGGCATTATTAGCTTTCTTTTTAGTTGGGTGATGGGGAGAAATTGTAAATCTATAGAGGAGATTGTTGATTTTTTGGGTTCCTTGGATCCATAGGCCCCTTTTCTTTTTGGCTCTGTCCTTTGTGTTGTCTTCGGGATGCGTTCCCCTCTTGAAAGCTTTCTAATACATTTTTACTTATAAAAAAAAAATAATAATAATATCACAACTTTTTTTTTCCTCATTAAAATACATTCCCTGCACATATTTTCCATTGAAACAAGCATAGCTTTGTTGATTTTGATTTTAAAAAATAAATGTCAGATAGTTAGGTAATTAATTTGCACGGCAAAGGCACCCGATCTCTTTAATAACTCTCAGAAGACATCATTGATTATGTGGACAAGTGGAAATTCTCTTCAACTTCCTGTTATAACTAGACGAACAAAGCCTTGTTGATTTTTCATTAAACAGACGAAGCCTTGTTTTTTTTTTTTATAAGTAACAAAGCCTTGTTATTTTTATTTTAGAAAATAAATTTCAAATTATTAGTTAATTAATTTGCATGCCAAAGGCGCATAATCCTTTTTAAAACTCTTAAGTAGAAACATTGATTATGTGGAAATTTTATTCAACTTCCTGCTATAGCTAAACTGGATCTTGTGTTTATGAAGGTATATAACGTGGACTATAGATGTGAGACATGCATTAGATAGCTTCGTCTTTGGGCCATAATACTTCATTAACTGAACCTTAAGGCAGAGACCCTCATCCTGGTACGTGTCTCAGTGGTTAAGGTCTCACATGACTGTTGTTCAAACTGAATCATTTTCCAAAATCACAACCAATATAATAAACGACCATTATTCTTGTGATTCAAATTTACTGAATCAGTTCTACATGACCTTACATGCTCTAGTCATGCCATGATGAAGTAATGTTTTAACCTTTGCAACCTCTTAACAAAACCTTAAAATGAATGAGCTATAATAACTGTAGAGTGCAAAAAAAGGCTAATCTTTAGATTGCAGTAGTATGGGATATAACCTTTTTAAGATGAATAAATTGTCATCTAGAGCATGTTGGAAATCGACACAAATATATCTTCAATGCTTGTAAGTGGTTGGTATTGATGTTTTGAAGGCTTTATGTAGTAATGTGACCACCTTATAGTGAGAAGTTGTATCGAAAGGTTTGCCAAAATCAAAACTAATATATTAAACGAGCATTATTCTTGTGAAATGAAATTTACAAATTTAGCTCTATGTGCCTTGTACACTTGTCATCAATGTTATAAATTGTTGCAGATGGATAGCTGTGACATCCTGGCTGCTTATACCTACAAGGAATTCGAGTTATTTTGCTTTATGGTATCTTGTTTTCCCCTAATCTTTGATATTCTTATTGGAGATTTGCTTGGTGCAAAGGTAAAAGAATTGACTTGGTTAGTGTGAGAACACGGTTCGAGTCTGAGAGCAGCAGTCACTTTGTTAGAAAAAGTACCACAATTAGGTCCATCTCCAGTCTTCCTTCCATCACACTGCTTTGGCAGTACTGCTGTAATATCTTTGTATCTATGTTTATTTGTAGAGCCACCTTCACCCATTACACACTCTGCAAGATAACATTGTATGGGATTGATCTTCTGTCTGGAGGTCTGAAGCTCCTATCATTAGCTCTAGTGAAGTAGGCAAAATGAAAATTATACTCAATTCCAAGTGGTAGCCTTAAAAGACACCAACTGGACTTGGAGCCACAATTGATATTGCAAAGTTGTTTACTTAAAATTTCCTCACAAGTGTATGTGTATATATTTGTGTGTGTGGGTGGGTGGGGAGATTATATATTTATTGTCATTGGCCAAATAGAAGCTCATAATCAGCACTCATACATATGGTAGAATATATTTACAAAGCAGAAATTCTTTATTTGTAATCCTATGGTTCACTTCTAGTTCAGATTTATCACATCATTTTCTGTCCTTGACATTTTATTGATACTATGTGAAAAGAAGTTTACCTGAAGAAGATCTATGGTTGAAGAGATCCACAGGAAATAAAGAGTCTTCCACATGCACTATAATTGAGATGGATGGCTTATTAAAACAAAATGTTGTACTGTTAAAACCATTCACGCTTTCACCAATGGGTTGTTAAATGTTTGCCAATTTGATGATAAAAATTGTAAATGTGACAAGAATCATGATTTCTTTTGCACCTAATTTAATGTTTAGTTCCACTTCTGTCGGACATGAATCTATTTTTTATGGTCATCGTAAGTGAACATATATGTGCTACAACTCTTTTATAGGTCATAGCTGAGAGGCTTTCAGAAGAAGAAATTGGCGGTCTGAAGGAATTGTTCAAAATGATAGACACAGACGATAGTGGAACAATAACATTTGATGAACTGAAAGATGGCTTAAGACGTGTAGGTTCTGACCTCATGGAGTCCGAGATCAAGGATCTCATGGATGCGGTAAGTCTATATGAATGATTTTATTTCCGTACTTCAATTTTTTATTGTAAAAGTCATTTGAACTTGACACCAAATTCTACAAAAGAATCTTTACTTGGGAAACGTTGGCAGGCAGACATTGACAACAGTGGAACAATAGACTATGGTGAATTTCTTGCTGCTACTGTGCACTTGAACAAGTTGGAGAGAGAGGAGAATTTGGTGTCAGCTTTCTCCTTTTTTGACAAAGATGGTAGTGGTTACATAACCATTGATGAGCTTCAACAAGCCTGCAAAGAATTTGGTTTAAGTGAAGTTCACCTTGATGAGATGATCAAAGATGTTGATCAAGATAATGTAAGTTTACTCCTGTGTACTACCTTAATATAAGAGATTAGGTAGTTGGGCAATTTCTTTCAGTTTAAAAAGGAAATTAATAATAATAATAAGAAGAAGAATAGTAGTGATATATACCTTGTTGGCATGTTAATTTCACTGAGCTAAATTTCCAAAGAAGTGATTTAGTGAAAACATTCTTAAACTTGGCATAAAGGAGTGCAAATGGGCTGCTAAATGTAAAAATCTGTGGTGGATTGATTCTTTATCCAGTTTTTCAAGTTTAAAACTAGGTTTTGCTCATCATAGAAGTAAAATGGAAGTTGTCCCCAAGAATGGGACCATGAATATTAAGTTTATTCCTGTTAAGTTTTTCCTTTCTAGTCACTCTCAAAAGTTCGATGGTATTCATTCATAACCAGCCCAATACTTATTCAAGAGCTTATACGTATAACTCAAACGTGCATACATACATAAATATATGTATGTATATATGTGCCAGCTTGTTGAGAGAAATCTGTACTAATGGAAGCTTTAATGTTTCAGGATGGACAAATAGATTATGGGGAATTTGCTGCAATGATGAGGAAGGGCAATGGAGGAATTGGGAGGAGAACGATGAGAAGCAATTTAAACTTGGGAGAAGCTCTAGGGATAACAGAAACAAAAGAGAACGTCTAACTGACTAATCGATATCCAAATCTAAATGTTCTTTTTGAAATGATCATGTTTCAAAAGAATTGAATGGTCAAATCTTATAATTTTCTGTTAGTAGCAGCAGTTTGTTTCTGAAATTATTAGATGGCCACCTCTCCTGTATTTGGAAGGCTTTTGTTTGGGGTGGATAGGTTGTGTGTGTAGCTGGATAATTGATTAGATTTGGCTTCATGGAGCAGTCTGTTAAATCAGGATTCATCTTCCTAGTTTTTGTTTCATGTACAATTTGTTTGGGACACAATTTTTCTACAACTTATGCCCCTTCTGAATCTAAGTACTCGAGTTGAGAAATGGGGTTGGCCAGCTACTGATGTGGAATTGGCTGTTTGGGCAGGAGGTAACATGAACAGAAAATTGATTAATCACGCTGGAAGAATAAGTCACCCACCCTCACAGACACACACACACACACACACAACCATAGAAGTCGTTAAGCTTATGACATCTGATAAGGAGATAGAATTAAGGGTTCAATCCAATCTTAATCTCGGGTCCTAGAGCCTCAGACCAGGCTTGTCTGGGTTGACTTGGACTCTTGTATGGTGAAGTTCTATTTGTCAAAAGTAGTGGATATTGAAAACATAATGGGTATCCCGTATCCAGCGGTACTAACAATGTAGTATCCCATATGGTGGATACAGTCAGGGTTCCATTATTTCTCCGCATTGTGAGGGCCAGAAATGTCATTTTATTATTATTATTATTATTATTATTTTTTTTTTTTTCGGGTTGATAGTGTGTCTGAATTTTTTCAATAGTTAAGATGAGTTTTTCCCCCAATATATAGCGTGGAACGATGGTGCAAATCTATCCATATGAATGTAGATGACACTAAGACTCTGTTTATTTCGATTTAAAATATTGTTTTTTTTTTTTTTTTAAAATTTTTCATGTAAATATTTTTATTTTTATTTTTATTTTTATTTTATTTTATGGTTTGTGGCAAAAGGTCTTGAAAATATTTTTTGATGTTTGGCTTCTGAAAAATGTTTTTAAGTGAAACCCAAGTTGTTATATGAGTAATTGATTATGGAGTCTTCCTCTTACGTGTCCGCTAGTCTAACTATTTCTATTCGAATAGCAAGAAAATGTCAAGCATAAGTTGAATGGTAGGACGAACCTTTGGTGCTTGAACAAACAATATTTAGTGTACCAAATAAATTCTGTAACTATTTGTTTTTGAAATTTTTATTAGCACCCCCTGAAAAACAAATAATGTGTAAATATTATCTAGGGAAATTTCAAAATTTAAGAATTTTTCAACTTGTACCCTTTTAGCTATACTTTTGAAAGTTCAACTATTGTGAAACAAAAATTTAAGTTCATTGTTAGTATAGCCATCACTTTATTATTTTATTTACATATACACATATACAATATCTATAATATTAATTCAAGAGAGAAAAAAAAGGAGAAAAATCACTAATGTTCTCTCATGTTTAAAAAAAATGCATGAATCATTTTTTGTCAAACATTTTTGTATAAAATGGTGTTTACAAGAAAAACATCTAGAATTTATATAACAATCTTTGTTGGCGAGACCAATGAATATTGAGAAGGAAGATAAATTAAAGTATTGTGAGATCTTCAATAACAACAACAATATCATATATGATAATACTTTTAATTGTCACTTTGTAAATGACAAATTCTGTAACTATTTGTGTAAGTTACTAAAATAATAATCTTGTTTAATTTAAACTTGAAAGTGAAAGTTTTTAATTAGTTAAAGATCTTCTTCTTCTTCTTCTTTTAATCTTTCATCTAGTATATCTATCCAAAGTGGAATCAAAGTATTTGACTTTTTCTTTGAAAAATTAAAATTTTGAAAAACTAAAACAATTGATGAAGGAAAATTGTTTCTCTTTTTAATTGTAACTTTATTGGTCCTTATATGTACCAAGTGGTGTTTGCCTGTTTAATGCCAAAAACATGTGTAGTAGAGCTTTCAAGGGCTTATACCATCAACATTGTGGTGTACAGAGGCTTAAATCATTACACATGGGTAATATTGTCTTTTACCATCTTGTGACACAATTGCGCAAATTGCGCAAGGGTTCTACTTGTGCAGGCTACTTTTCTATATAAACTGAGGTTCAGCACATGAAAATTAGCTACAATTTTTTATAGGGGCATTATGGTCTTTTCACAAGTGTATTAGATATTTATACATATGTTTAGATAGTTGCATTGCATTGAACAACTGTGTAACCTGCATTGTGAATTATACCGTCTCAGGATCTGTATTGTCCTGAGACTGACAAGTGGCTATTATAAGGGCAACTTGGTCTTTCCACTTTAAGCCCAGGTGTGTGACACGTTGATGTGGTCTAATGTGAGAGTGTATACATAACAACTGCATTTCTTAGAGGCTAAGTTTAGATAAGAATGCTATTACAACCTTATCTAAGTGAGCTATAATTTCTGGTACACTATAGGACAAAACAACTTAGTTGGTAAAGGTATATTGGTCCATTCATAGGAGGAATGTTAGAACATTCTCTGAGCAATGATTGGCTAAGGGTGACAGGTTTATATCCTCATTGTTTATGACTAGTGTAGTGAGCTTCATCATATATATGCTGTGATAGAGATTCTAAGTTTTAAAGCCTTGTAGAAAACCCTAAGAGCAACCTGCATTATACTATACTCGAGAGCTTCAAATGAACAATGATTTATGAGGTGTTTGATAATGATCTAAACTAGAATTCTCCACTGAATTGATCCTTGTAGCTGTGTTCATGCATGGAGGCCTTTTGCTGTCAAGGACTGTTGGTGCAAGGCTGGTTTGAAGGTTGAGTTTGAGCTTGAGGTTGCTTAGGTGCTAAGTCAAGGTTGAGATAGGTATATTTACTGTCCGACATGTGATTAGGCCTTTTTGCTAGTTTAGCCTTGTGATTCATGTATAGATTGATTATATCTTGCTATACAACTGCCCTTTAGTAAATTTGTATTGATGAATCAAGGCCGTTGAAGTTAGGATTTGGACAAAACTTTGGTTGGTCGTGGTTTTGATCTACCAAAACCCTTAGTTCTCGAGTGAACAGTTGTTGTCAAGCTTTATCTGTGATTGTAATGATATATACATGTTGTACTTATTATGTTTATCATCTGAGCATGATTATATTGGTGATATAAGGGTGTAGAAGTGATTACAGAATTATTGGGACACGGATTTTCCATTTTACCCCTTTAACCCTAGTTTCTGCAGAAATGGTTTTAGAGGCCTGAGATTGTTCGTTTGAGATGCACAGTCACTCTTATCTTTTGTGTATGCTTGAATATTATTGATATATATTCTTTTATATGTATTTGGTGAGTTATGAGAGCTTGCAGAGTCCAAGTAAAGGTGCTTAGGACAAGGGGGAGTGCAGTGAGCACTGTGTTGAGCTAGTGTGTGTGTAGAGACTGTGAAAACTAGTATCTTATCTTGTACAAGAGTGTGTGCAGAGAGTGAGACAGCTGAGTGTGTAACTACTTGTATACAACTAGTGGAACTTATTAATGGCTAAGGCCAAGAACCAAGGTTTTTCCTTGTACATCTTGTGTTTTATGCCTTGTGTGCATTTGTTGAGCTTGCAGTGAGATTGAAAAAGATTACTTTGACAATTCATCCGCCCTCTTGGTCTAACAAACTTATAGTTTCTTTATACAGTTTTCCATCTATTTATTTATTAAATTGCCTTTTTCTCAAGGCATATGTAATATGACCAATATTTAACCAAAATTATATTACAATTCATTTATAAAATTTTCAAACTTTAGTTACATAGTTCAAATTTACCACCCCCCCCCCCCCCCCCCCCCCAAATTTCTTGGCTCTGCCTTTGGTGCGAGTAAAAACGTGGTTACAGCAGATGTCCATTTAGGGTTCTATAATTTATGTTTTAACTTAATATAAGAAACAAATCCAATGGTTGAGATTAATAAGTCTTGAGTTGGCCTAATGGGCTAGTAGGATGATATTAAAATATAAATTGGGCCAATGAACATATGGGTGAATCCTACCCTTTGTCCTTAGGTTTTTGATACCATGTTGTCACACCCTAAATTCTGGGAACCTGCTGCATAAGAAAAATGATCCTTCCTCAGGGCATATATCTAATGTCTCACCTAAGTCACATTCATGCATGTCTAAGTGTGATACCCCTCGATTCTGGAACATGGGTCAATCAAGTCCGCACGACACCAAGGGAGTATCAAACAATTAAGGTAATAAACAAGCATAAAATATGATAAGTGCTGAAATATGCACATTTCAGTCTTAATCTCGGGTATTTTAGACCTTTCATCTATCTTTATTTTTCCGTTTTAGTTCTAATTTATATTTTTGTCAATTTCAAGTCAATAAGGTTCAAACAAGCTAAAATTGGTTCATTAAAGTCTTTTTGGAGTCAAGTAAATACATTGGAAAAATTCAAAAAAATTGTCAAAAAAGGGCTTGTGATAGATCGCATGTTAGTTGCGATCGATCACAAGTACACATCATCGTTCGCAAGCCACGTCATCGTTTACAAGCCACATTAGCGATAAGATCGAATAAAGCCAGCTATTTGCGAATGGTGTGTGTCAAGGACTAAAGCTCAAAAGTGGTGTGATATAAAATATGGCCAAGTTTAAATTTGTAGAATGCCACTACTACTAACTACTAACGTAGCGAGAGTGAGTAGGGATTGTCCCAAAGGAAAGGAAGGGTACTTTGGAATCAATGTTGGATTAGAAGGTCGAATGATCAAAAGAATTTGGTTTGATTAATTAAACTAATGGTTCAATTAAAACAATATAATTAAGTGACAAACTAGAAATTAGAGAAAGTAATATGAGAAAAAGGTCTTAGAGTTCACCACTAAGCTTCACTTCACCAAACACTAGTAATTGTAAATTAATGGGGAAATTCAAGTTGTAAAATGTGTGTGTGTGTCACCAATTAAAAGCTAAGCATGGATGACAAATAAGGATAGATTGTCTAATCAATCTAGTGAGTAGCACAACCTATCAAATGAAACCATTAACCATTCAATTAAACCACAATTAGTACACACACAAAAATCTAGAGAAATGTACTTCTTGAACTCATAAGTATGGAACATCAAACAACAAGAATGGATTGTCCATCTATCTAAGAAATTAAAGCAATTACACTACAACTAAGCTAATGACATGAAAATTAAGCTAATAAAACTAAGGGTGTGGCATAATCCATTAAGAAATAAGTATGAACCATCAAATAAACCACAAGAGTAATCAATCAA